GCTTGAGCCACCGTGCCTGGCCTGTGTTATTTCTTTGAATAAGCTTGCTACCTCTTGTCTTTCTCAGTTCTCTAACTCCACTAACCCAAATATTTGCTTTTTTGATGTTGGTCCATAGGTCCCAAAAGCTTTGTTCATTTCTTCGTCTTTTTTTTTTCTCTTCTGACTGTGTATTTTCAAATAGTCTGTCTTTGAGCTCACTGATCCTTTCTTCTTTTTGATCAATTCCTCTGCTATGCTCTATTGCATTTTTCATTTCATTTATTGAATTTTTTACCTCCAGGATTTCTATTTATTTTTTAAATTTTTCTCTGAACTTTCTCTGAGACGTTTCTCTGAGCTTTCTTGAGGTTCACTGAGCTTCCTTAAAACTATCTTTTTAATTATTTGTTTGAGAGATCACACATTTTCATCACTTTAGGGCCAGTCTTGGTGCCTTACTTTGTCCCTTTGACATCGTATTTCCCTGAATGTTCTTGATGCTTGAAGTATGATGATAGCTACACATTGAGAGATTAAATATTTTAGTCTTCCTAGTCTGGCTTTGTTTGTGCCTGCACCTCTTCAGAGGGTCTTCCAGGGATTCTAAGCCCACTGACTATTATGTTCCCTATCTGTGATCACCACAGTCATCTCAGCACTAGAGGATACTCTATTCCCAGGCTTGCTGTGAGTCTCACAATGGCTTTCTGGGCCAAACGGACCTGGGGAAGATCCAAGGACAGGACTTGTGTTATGTGGGAACACTGGCCGCCAGGGACCGGAATCTTGAAGACTGTCCTAGTGTCCCAGACCAGTGTACTTCCCTGCAGGCCTCTGCACAGGTGTGTCCCAGACCAGTGTACTTCCCTACAGGCCTCTGCACAGGTAGGCTGGGTCCCCAACCATAGCAAGAGAGGCAGAAGTTGAGACTAGACCCCTTCAGGATCTGCTGTGAGGAGGAGGCTGATGGGCCTTTCTCATTGGCTGAGACAGGCATGTGTTACTCAGCAAGTCTCTGCACAAGTGGAGTAGTTTCTTACCCATAACAGGAGGAGCTAAAGCCAAGACCAGGCCTCCTCACCATCTGCTATAAGATGGAGGCTGGCCAGGAGCCTGTAGTCCCAGCCACACAGGAGGCTGAGGCAGGACAATGGCGTGAACCCGGGAGGCAGAGCTTGCGGTGAGCCGATATTGTACCACTGCACTCCAGCCTGGGGGACAGAACGAGATTCCGTCTCAAAAAAAAAAGGATGGAGGCTGGCATACCTGCAACATTGGCTCAAATGGGCATGCATCTTCTAGTAAATCCCTGCATAGACAGGATAGTTCCCCAACTATCAGCAGGAGGAGCTAGAGCAGAATCTGGGCCCCCTTGGGATCTGCTGTGGGACAGATACTGAAGGGCTCAGTCTCAGCTCAGAGGCATGTGTGTCACCCAGCAAGTTCCTGTACAGATAGAATAGTTATCTGACGGCAGAGGGAGGGTCTGGAGCTGTGACTGGGCCCCCTTGGGATCTGCTGTGGGACAGAAGCTAGAGAGCCCAGTCTTGTATCTGAAGGTGTGTCTTTCCCAGGAGGACACTGCATCAGTAGGATATTCCATGACTGCAGCAGGAGGTGCTGGACATGCCTCCCCGCAGGTCTTCGCATAAATGGGATAGGTCTTTGTCTTCAGTCTCTTTTGTCTAATACTGGTAGATTCCAACTCTCCTGGTTACTGTTTGCCTTATCCACACTCACACGTTTAAACTATTGTTTATTTCTATTTGAAGTGCATTTCTCATAGGAAGCATATAGTAGTGCCTCACTTTTTTATCCAATCTGATGATTTTTGCCTTTTAATAAGGGTATTTTAGACTATTTCAATTTCATGTGATTATTGATATCGTTTGGTTCAAAATACTACTTTTCTGTTTGTCCCATCTGATCTTTGTGCTCTTTTTTTTCTGCCTTCTTTTGGATTTATTTATTAAACATTCTAATTTCTATCTTTTGTGGGTTTATTAGCTATTACTTTTATTGTTTCATTATTGCTTTAGTGTTTGTAACATACATGTTTAAGTTACCACAATTTAATTTAAAGTGATATCCCACTTATATAAGGAATAAAAACCTTATAATAGTATACTTCCATTTCTCCCCTCTGACTTGTGTGTTATTGCTATCAAACATTTTAATTTTACATGTTACTCACACATTACATTGTGATTTTTGTTTTAATAATCTTTCAAAGAGATTTAAAGTAATAAAAATTACATATTTACCCATGTGGTTATCATTTCCAAAGCTCTTCCTTCCTTCGTCTGTATTCCTGGTGTTTTTGCTTATGGTGAATTCTTTTAGGATTTTTAAGTCTAAAAATATCTTTATTTCCCTTTTGTTTTGGAATGATACTTTTGCTGGGTGTATATTTTTAACTTGACAGTTTTTAGTATTTTAAAAACATTGCTCCACTGTCTTCTCACCTGTATTATTTCCAATGAGAAATCTGCCATCATCCTTGTCTTTGTTCCTTTATATGTAATGTGCTTTTTTCCCTCTGGCTCTTTTCAAGATTTTTCTTTATATCACTGGTTTTGGGCAGTTTGGTTATGATATGCCTTGATATAGTTTCTTCATTCGTGCTTGGGGCTCACTTAGCTTCTTGGATACATGGGTTTATGATTCATTAAATGTGGGGAATTTTTAGCCATTATTTTTCTCAAATGTTTTATTTGTAGCACACTCTGTGTCTTCTCCTTTAGGGACCCCAATAACACATAGCAGACACTTGAAGTTGTCCTACAGCTCTTTTTTTCCTGTTTTTTATTTGTTGTTGTTTTTTCCCCTGTATACTTTATTCTGAATAGTTTTATTGCTAGACCTTCAAATTTGCTGATTTTTCATTCTGCAATATCTACTCTGCCATTCATCTCATCTAGTATTTTTTTATCTCACACATTGTAGTTTTTATCTCTAGAGGTTCAGTTTTGTGTCTTTTTTTTTTTTTTTTTTTTTTTGAGACAGAGTCTTGCTCTGCCGCCTAGGCAGAGCAAATTGTGCAGTGGCACAATCTCGGCTCACTGCAAGCTCTGCCTCCCGGGTTCACACCATTCTCCTGCCTCAGCTTCCCGAGTAGCTGGGACTACAGGCACATACCACCACACCCAGCTAATTTTTTTTATTTTTAGTAGAGACAGGTTTCACTGCGTTAGCCAGGATGGTCTCGATAGTTTTGTGTCTTTTTAAATATATATTCCATGTTTCTACTTAACTTTTTGAACGTCTGAAATACAGATGAAATAACTGTTTTAATAAATAGCTGCTTCTGTCAATTCTAACATCTCTGCTAATTCTAAGTTGGTTTCAATGATCTCTTCATTATGGGTTTCATTTTCCCAAGTCTTTACTTTGCAAATATTCTCCAGCTTTGTTTTAGAAAATGCAGTTGTGTTACTTGGAAAGAGTTTGATCATTTTTTTTGTTTTGCTTTTAATATGTGTTAGATGGGATCAGGTCAGTGTTCAGTCTGTGGCTAAGTATGGAAAATACTTCTGGGTGTTCAACCCGATGCCCCGTGAATCGTGAAGTTTTCCAGGCTGGCTGTTAGGAAGTAGCACGATTCCTGGCTTTGTGAATAATATATGTAAAATTAAACGATCTCCAATCTTCTTAAGTGGTTAATTTCTGAGCCTTGAATAGTTTTCTCACATGAATGTTGTGTTAGTCCCTTTTGCATTGCTGTAACAGGATACCTGAGGCTGGTGATTTATAAAGAGGCTTATTCTGCTCACAGTTCTGCAAGCTATATAAGAAGCATGGCCCCAGCATCTGCTTCTGGTGAGGCCTCAGGACGCTGACGATGATGGTGGAAGGTGAAAGGAGAGCCGGCATGTCACATGGCAGGAGAGAGCAGGAGAGAGAAGGGGGCAGGTGCCAGCCTCTTTTAAACAACTAGCTTTTGCATGAAGTTAAAGAGCAAGAACTCACTCATTACCATGGGAAGGGCACTAAGCTGTTCACGAGGGTTCCACCCCCAAGACCCAAACACCTCCCACCAGGCCCCATCTCCAACACTGAGGATCACATTTCAACACCAGGCCTGTGATTCTCAGTGCTGGAACCTGCTGGGAGGTGTTCAGGTCATGGGGGTGGACAACCCATCTCCACCACTGAGGATCACATTTCAACATGAGATTTGGAGCACACAGACATCCAAACTATATCAGATGTGCTGACCAGCACTCAGTTGAACCCTTGACGGACCTTCTGCAAATCTCTAGAGTTCTTTCCTCTGCTGTACTCTGTCTTGTAAATTGTTGCCACCTTGGTCTCCCTGTACTTCGGCAGCAGAAGTACTCATGGGCAAGTTCTGTTCCGAAACATTCACTTTTCGGAACTGTTATTTTCTCATCAATACAGAAAGGATAATAGTATGTAGCTTATGATTTTATCATGGGAATTGAATGAGGCTGATGTTTGTACAGCACCTGGCACTTGGCAGATACTCAGCAAATATTTGGGTCTTCCCTGTCTCTGCACCTGGTTGTTATTTCTTCCTGATTTTTGCCTTTGGTTTGCAACCTGATTCCTGGCTGAGCTTTAGGTTGGGTTCTGTATAATGATCAACCAAAGCTGGTAATCACTCATGAGCCATTCAGGTTTTAACTTGATGAGTTTCAGAATTCTGCTGTTCAAATGGCATTTAGGTAGAAATGTAGCCTCCTATCATTAGACATTTATTTTCTCCAAAATCTCATTCAGTTCAACCTGCAAGAATTATTTGAATTCATTTATCTGTAGTGTGACTGTCAGTAGACTTTAGAAGGTCAGTGGTGTGTGGTGAAAAGAATTTTAAGAGGACCAATGCTATTTGCAACCCCAGCATGATTTTGCTGGGGTTTCCTAGTAGGTCGTGAACTTCAACCTTTTACTCCCCCTTTTCATTTTTCCTCAGGTTTCCCAAGGAGCTACATGAAGAACAGATGAGTGTTTGTCAGAACTTAACCATTTCTCTTTTATCTTCTCTTATGTGGCAGTGTCTGGAGGCCGCAGCCGCCTGCATCTCATTGATCTCGGCAGCTGTGTGAAAGCTCTTAGCAAAAATCGAGAAGGAGGCTCAGGACTGTGCCTCTCGCTGTCTGCTCTGGGCAATGTCATCCTGGCTCTAGTCAATGGCAGCAAACACATTCCATACAAGTAAGTGGCTCTTCTACTCAAAGAATGCGGTGGGGGTAAGCATGGTGTGGGACGCTTGGCTTAGTGCCATCTGGGGAGAGGTGTGCCACAGAAGGACAGCCTGGACCCCATTCTAAGTTCAGTGCCAGAGACCAGCCTTAGCTAACAGTTGTGTAATGCATGATCTCCCATATTCAAAACTTTTGGAAATACTTAAATCTATTCCAGTTCTAACTTGAGGCTACTCAAGTTAGAAGAAAATAGGAAATTATCTCAGTTGAGTTCCCCACTCACAACTGAAGGGGGTGGGCCATTGTCACCATGAGAAAGATACGCCTGTTTCACAGTGATGAGAATGAGGGTGGAAGACTGGCTTACCCTTAGGGGTAGGGCCACCAGACTCAACCAAACAAATACAGGCTATCCAGGCAAATTCGAATTTCAGATAACCAACAAATAAGGTTGTATTATACGTATGCACCCCAACATTGCGTGGGACACTCCTGGTGTCATGTATTTTATCTGGCAGGCCCCATCTAGGGAGTTTAGAAAGCTGGGAGAATTAGCACCGCCTTCCCATGCAAATGTTTAGTCACTTCCAGGATCCTTCCTGTCTCTTTATTGCTGCTCCAAGACAATTAAATTACAGCCGCTCCTATGTCTGGCAGAGACAAAGCCACTCCACCACCATCACCCCAACTAAGCGTTCTCATTGGACCGTGTGGTGGCGGGCCATTGACTGGCTGGCCGGGCTTCTGCCAAGGCCCAGCTGAGCCTCTTACTAGCTGCATGAACCTTCATTCTTCCTAAAATGAGGGCTAAAGCTATACATGTTACTTACATCACAGAAATATAAGGCTCAAAATGATAAAACATGTATAAAAGTTTATTGTAGAATTTAGGACACTATGGCCAATAACCTATGATGAAAGTCTGGTAACACCTATCTGGTCAAGCCTATCCTCACCTATTTAAAGGGAAAAAAACACTGGCCTTACAGAGTTGCCATGAGGATTAACTAACTGTATGTGGATTCATGGTTTTATCTGTAAAAATCCTACAAAACCTAAGTTACTTGTGTGGGAGGAAAAGGTCGAGCAGTGTATTCTATAATGACCGAGATTCAGGATGAGTGCTGGAGTTTTTCTTTCCCTCAACCCTATGGACCGACTTTAGGAGCTTAAATGGTGGTTACAATCCTGTCCATCTCATTTCTAGAAATTTGGAATCCTAGTTGGATAAACCCAGAAATGGTGTTCCCAGCTCTTGTAACAACACTTTTCTATAGGAAAAAATTGTTAAGTTGAAGAATTATAGAGTTTCATTTGATGTCATTTCTGTAGTTGAATAAATTCAACTGGTGGGGAGAAAAGGCAGGGGAGGGCAACCGTTGGAGTTGGAGATGAAGGGAAGAGTTGCTGGCCCTCACTGGTTTCCATAAAATGAGAATCATGCCTGTTAATGTCATAACTTCATAGATCATGGTGTAAATAAAATTCCAGATTGCACCTTGTTAGGAGGTCATCGATTACATATTTTACTTAAAGATTTTCCACTGTTTCTGCAGGGCGACATGCTTTTATGATTTCTATAAATAGTTGTTGAATTGATGGTGAGAACATAGATGCATGTAAACATGAAACTATTTTTAATTTAAAGTAACTTAGTTAGAGTTGGGTTTTGTTATAAATGAGTAGGGAAACATTAAAAATTGTTTTTATGGCCCAGCGTGGTGGCTCACACCTGTATTTCCAGCACTTTGGGAGGCTGAGGCGGGAGGATTGCTTGAGCCCAGTAGTTCGAGACCAGCCTGGGCCACATGGCAAAAACCTGTCTCTACAAAAATACAAAAATCAGCCAGGCGTGGTGTTGCATGCCTGTAGTCCCAGCTGCTTGGGAGGCTGAGGTGGAAGGGTCAATTGAGCCCAGGAGGCAGAGCTGCAGTGAGTTGAGATCATGCTACTGCACCAGCCTGGGCAACAGAGTGAGACCCTGTCTCAAAAAAAAAAGAAAAAAGAAAAAAGAAAAAATGTGTATGAATTGTTCAAGCCTCTTGTTAATTAAGCATATTTTTAACATGCTGGCCCTACCACCGGGCCGCCTGCGCTCCTGGGAAACACCTGCACTCACCAGTCCCTGCAGACAGCTGCCTGCCTTCATTCCAGGAGTCCCCTTCCTTCTATTGTGGCACCGAGAGAGTGATCATTAAAGTGTTTCTGGGTCTCAAGCACAGACTAGCATCCACGCGGTGTCAGCACAAGACCCAGTCCTGGAGCTGTCCCGTGGCCTGGTTGAGCTATTGATGGCGTGAGTATAGACTCACCAGCTGTCCTTGCCCTGCCCTGCCTAACACACCTCATCGAGACCTTGCCGGGTTGCCTGGTGCCGGAAACATGGCGGCCTGGCTGTCCAGCCAGCACTGTCCTCCCCGAAACATCCATTGGCCGGTGCATTTGTTCTGCCACCCCTCAGTGTCCTTAATGCCCTTTACTGTGCGTGATCTTAAAAAGACCCTTGCTATCATGTTTTCTCTGAATCTGGGCCACAGCCTAGATTCAGTATTTAGCATCTGCAAATTTACATTTACAAAGTGATTCATCAACTAGAAACTGTCTTCTTTTGAGGTACAGAAAGATAAGGTGAAGATTTACTCAAATCACCCGGCCAGTGGGTGGCGGGATCAAACTGCCTCCCTTTTCACAGCTTCAGAGGCCTTGACAGTTCAGAGCTGCAGACCCACGCCCCCTTCTCATCAAGCTCTCTAAAGTCGGAGCTGCCTTTGCTCCACACGGCAGGGGAGCCCAGCACAGCAGGAAGGCCCAGATTTCTGGTATCAGCTCCATCAGCACTCTGAACCACATTATGCAGCATTTTGTTAGCATACTAAACACCTTCAGGGTGTCACACCTTGTCTTTGCAATGGGTTCCTTAGAGAACGGAAGTTTCCTGCCCTTGCGGTTTCCTGTTACTCCTCCTGCTCACTTACGGGGGGGGGGGGGGGTTCTCTTCCTTCCCCCACCCCCAAGACACTTCCTTCCCCCACCCCCAAAACACAGACACCCCACTACCTCTCCATTTGTCTCCCCAGACAACTCTGTGCTTGGAAACTGCGTTACTTGTGCTTGCTCCTGGGAAATTCACTGGAATGTGCACAGAGGGGCTGTAGCCTGTCTTCATTCCTCTTCATCATTTTAGCAGGCTATTTGTCATGTGAGCAAAGCCGGAAAGTGAGTTTGGATTCATTACCCATCCCAGGCATTCCCACAGGCACCCTCCATGTGCGCTGAATGGGTCTGACTTTGCAAATGATATTGCCCTTGAAGATGCAAGAGAGGTGGAGCAGGTTTCCAACCTCAGCCATTACATGGCACAGGCACATTGCACGGCACAGGCTTGCCGGCCAGTCCAGGTGACGTAAGTCGGCCCTAAACAGTGGCACCATTCAGAAAAGCATGCAGGAAAGGCAGGGAGACCACCAAGGGCTCCAGCCCCTCATCAGTTCTGCACTGACAGGCTGCACAAATTACGCTCTAATTTTTGAGAGCCTCCACATCTAGGGAACCCTGCCCTCGTTTGAGCATTTTGACAGTGCATTTGCAAATCTTCTTTATTCGGTACAGTCATTTGCTGTTCCTTACCACTCTTGGGCACCAAGGTGCTAGGAGTCTTCCCATTTAATGGATAAGAAAAAATAGGCAGAAGCATTGAAATGACTTCCCAGGCCAAAACCCAGTGTTTCAGGCACATCCCACAGGAGTTGGCCCCCAGAAGAACTGCCACAAGGATCTGTCAGGGTGAACTGAGCTTCGGCTAAAGGGTGTTACGTCCCAGCTCATCTGAAGGACCGCAGCCTTTCGAGACTCAGATGCTAACCGCAACCCACTTCTCTCAAAAATAGAATTTCTGGTTCTCTTAGATGTTGCCTTGCAAAGGGCACGGACTCTTAGAAACCACACCTTTCACACAGGGCTCCTGCAAGCCCTGAAGCATTTACCTTCATTTATAACTGCTACTCCATATGGAGGAAGAATTCCTTTAATGGGTCATATGGCCTGTTTGCTTATTTGCCAACTCGGTGTTTCTAAACATTGTTTCTAAACAACAGCTAGTTGCTAATGTCTTGGCTGCCCTTTAACAAGAACTCGTGAAAGTCATTCTGTGGCCCTCTCCTGTTGTGCCTGAGACGCTTCTCCCAGTCATCTTGAAAAATGGTGCTACACAGCCATCCCGTCGTGGAAATGATGGCTACATAGCCATCCGTCGCGGCACCTCCCTCTTACGGGTTTGGTCTATGGTTCAGATCCAGACCTAATCCTTGTTTGTTGAGATCAGTCACTGAAGCACTTTGGGTCTCAGCAGCTGTGCTGAGCTCGCCTCCTCCTCTCTGTGGTGGATCCCGAAGCTGCAGGCCACAAGCAAACACCGCAGGCAGCATCCACTTCCAGAAGCCTGTGTTCCACAAAGCGATGAGGACGCCCACCCTCAGGGGCTATAATGGGAACTCTTTTCCTCCTAAGGCCCCAGTGAGGAGTCAGGAACCAAGTCATCTTGAAGTTGTAGCATCGGAGCACAGCAGTTCATTCAAAGCAGCAGGCAGCACTAGAAGCTCAGGTTCAAGTCAGTGACTTGAAAGGAAATGACACTTCATAAGTAGAGGCAGCTTTTTCAAAATGCAAGCGCGTCTTCTCTTCCAAGAGAGGGTGGGGCGCTGGCAACCTGCGGGTCGCACGTGTGGCAGCAGGCCCAGCACTGGCAGGAACTTCAGGACGAGCCCCTCTGAAGGATGCGGACATTCCCCTCCCTTGCCTGGAGAAGCGTTTCTTCCTCGAGCCCATGGAGATTTGGGCTTAGTCTCTGCTTTCTCAGAACTGGGAACCCGGTACTCAAGGTCTGGGAAGCTGGGGAAAGGGGCTCAAGATTGCTGTTAGCTAGAGCGGGGTCCCAAACCCCCAGGCCACAGACTGGTACAGGTCCCTGGCCTGTTAGGAACCGGCCTGCACAGCAGGAGGTGAGCAGTGGGA